CTGAAGTACACGTTAATGGCTAGTCCCACTGAAGCCACTTGGAGAGGCTCGTCTAATTATTCAGTAAGGATCAAGGTGTGTTCGTGACAGAAACAGGACAGAAAAGGAGTTTAATGGATTCCTGTTAGAACAACACGTACGAGTGTTCATCTTTTTGAAGGAAATGTGAAGCTTAAATGAATTTCAGTGGGAATACTGGAGTTCTCACTTAGGCAAGCATCTTGCGTTTCTTCCCTAAGCAATATCCCCACTCAGTTTTAGTGTGGATACTATTACTTTGTGCAAAGAAATCTTAACATTCGCTGCAAGTTAATGGGAAAAATGGAATGGAAGTTTTCTTTTTAACTTTTGTGTAGCAGGTTTTAGTGCACCTAAACTTACATCTGGCTCTGAAACATTAGGTGGGAGAAGAGAGAAGTGATAGTGGGAATCATATTACATACTTTAAGGTGAGAAGTGATTTTTTGTTTGTTTGTTTTTGCCATAGGATATGTGCATGCCTCCCGTGCATCAGAGAGAGAGACAGAGAGAGGAAGAGTAAGGAATCACCTCCCGGGGATGGCCATGCTGCAGTCCTTTCTCCTCCCTCCTCCTCTCGGGACTTTGGGCATGCACACACACACATACCCAGTGTGATTTTTCCAGCTGCGGGGTCTGGGACTGGAACTGCTGTTGGCTTTGTGGGAATCCAGAACTTTAACTAGCACACCACCTGTTGGCCCCGAGATGTAACTTAATAGCTGTGAATATCGCACGTGATGTGTGACATGCCAAGGATAATTTCTCTGTGCTTATTTTAAAAAGACAACTCTAATCCAACATTCTTTAATAGCTGAAAGGCATTTTTAAAAGATAACATGGATTGGGACCAGCAGATGGTGTAATGGCTATGTCACTGGACCCCCATGTGGTCGACTGCAGTTCAAGTCCTGAGCCCTGCAGCTTAAACTCATGCCAGGCACGTGTGTGTGCGTGCCCAAGATCCCTAGAGGAGAATGGAGAAGGGATTGTGGTGTGGCCATCTCCCCGGGGGACGATTTCTCGCTTTCTGTCTCCCTGTCTCTCTGTCTCTCCGGTGCGTGCACGTGCACTATAGCAAAAACCTCTCCCAAAAAGAAAAATAATAATAAAATAACATAGGTTGTAAGAAAGCAAAATGAATGAAGAGAAGATGGGGATTACCTGAAAGATTGTAGTGCTGAATACATGCAGCTTGAATTACAGCAGGGTTAGAAAAAAAATGTAACCTTCAAATAATGAAATATGGAAAAAAATAAATCTTTTTGTTTCAAGAAAGATTTTTTAAAAATAATTATTTTATTTAACTTTATTTATTTTAATTTGTTCAGAGAAGGACACACCGAGAGTGGGAAAGTGAGACAGCAAGCTGCCAGGTCCAGAATTTGAACTGCGGTCGGCCATGTGGGAGTCCAGCACCCATCTTTAAACAGCACACCACCTGCTGGCTCTTAAGAGTGATTTTTGCTATAGGAAATGTGCATTTGCTGGAGAGATGGAGACAGACAGAGAGACAGAGACAGACAGAGAGACAGAAAGTGAGAAAATATTCTCCAGGGCGATGGCCATGCTGCAATCTCTTCTCCTCCATTCTCCTCTTGGGATCTTGTGCACACATGCATATGCACCTGGTGTGAGTTTTAAGTTGGTGGGTCCTGGACTCGAACTGTAGTCAACTATGTGGGATTCCAGTGACCTAACTGTTATGCCACCTGCTGGTCCCTACAAAAATGAATCTGAATACAGGAAAGATTTATTTGATGTTGTAGGGATATATGACTAGAAGGAATGAAATGAAATCAAGGTGTGGAAAATTTAATTTGTGTTTTAATACCAATAACAATAACTTAGAAGAAATGCCTGTAAGGTTGTGTCCATTGAAAACTATAAATTCGCATATTTGCCCAGAAGATGGCGGTCCCTGATGTTCCGAACTGACCTCGTGCAGTGGGTAGGAGGCTTTGTGAAGGGCTTGATTAGGGAGAACTAAAGAGGCAAACCTCACACCGGACAGTTGATGGTATCGCATTATCTTATGCTTTCGCTACCTGTCGGAGATAGCGTGCTGACTTTTCAAGGGACTACCCGACTCTTACGTTTCCTCCACCCACCCTTTTCCTCTCCAAGTGGCATTTGGCTCTGTGGGGTGGGTGGCTGTGTGTCCTGGTAGGACAAAGGGGGTCATGGAAGCAGTTCATGTCCTCTGCCTCCCAGGGCCCTTGCTGCGCACTGCTCGGCTGGGTTTGCATTCAGGAGTGGCGGCTCCTGCATCCTTTCTGGCCACGACCTGCGGTGTGGACACCCACAAACACCTTCAGCTGATGTCCACGGGCTGAGCAATTTGCAGGCCCACTCTGCGTGTATGCTCGCACCTCTGGCCCTGTTAGCACCCCCCGACCATCTCCCTGCACCCCTCGCACTAGCAGAGAGCGTGAGGAGCCGGGATCTCTACCCCAGCTGTCCTGTTGGGCAGGCGTGCCCGTGCTGTGGTCATGCCAGCCCTGGATGTGCAGAGCACTTCCTGAGAAAACACGCAGGGAAGCGTGGCACCAGCCCCACCCTCCAGTGCTTTAGGGCTCTGCACGTCCGCCTTGATGTTTCCAGGACGCCCTGCCCCCGCCCAGGGTGCAAACACAGGGCCCTGTGCCTCTGGCCGGTCAGTGTCTCCTCTACCTCTGCGTCCTCCAGGACCAGGCGCATGGCGCTTCCTGTCCTCCACCAAACCCTTTCCTGGGTCATGTTCCTCCCCATTCCAAGGAGTGTCCCCACCCCACCTCGCCTTCCAGGGTGTCGTACTGCCAGGCACAGCTGATGTAGAAAATGTGATTTTTTTGGGAAAAAGAAGTGAACGCACATCTAGACGATATTTTTAAAACGTTAGTCTTATTAAAATAATAAACATTATCAGTACGTTCTGGTGTTCTGAAAGGTCGTAGAAAGCCCATCCTTACTGAGGCTGTCGCTGTCCCGTCCACGTGCCCTCCTGCTGTCCCGTCCGTGCCTTATCCACTGTCACTCCCCTCACACGGTGAACGACAAAGCACCGAGGTCATGCTTTCTTTATCTTTCTACGGGCCGCCATCACTCTGGTCCCTGGTCTTCAGACTCCGCGTCCCCAAGACGTTCCTGTAATTACAGAGCACAACCCCGACTGTCACCGCCTGCACCAGCCCTGGGCCGCACCTCTGCTCACAGCTCTGGGCCTCCATTACTGTTTTTTTGTTTTGTTTTGTTTGTTTGTTTTTTGAGAGTTTTTTTTTTCGCTATAGGGCGCGTGCGCTCGCCAGACAGAGAGAGAGAGAGACAGAGAGACAGAAAGTGAGAAATCCCCCCCCAGGGGGATGGCCACACCGTAATCCCTTCTCCTCTCGGGATCTTGGGCATGCACGCACAGGTGCCCGGCATGAGTTTAAGTCACCGGGTTCGGAACTCGAACCACGTGTCAACTACATGGGAGTCCAGCGACATAGCCATTACACTAACTGCTGGTTCTGTGCCTCCATTACTGTCAAAGCTCTCTAGCCTTGAACGGCCTCACTCTCGCCTGTGGGCCTTCCCCTGCCCGTCCTTTCCCATTCCTCTCCGTGCCGTGAAGCACACCTTCACGGTCTCCTGGAAGAACCCCAGTTCACGTCACCCTCCATGTCACCAGCCCGTGGAATCCTCTGCTCGGCTCGGCGTAGTTTAACTTCCCGCCGATCGTCCTTGACTTCTGGACCCATAGCACTAACCCACCTGAGCTCGCTGAGTCAGCGTCGGTGGGGATGTACTGGCCAGTGCTTAAGGCCAGGGACTTGGGCGGAGCAGCACATAGCGCCTTTCAAATGGTGGGCGCTGGGCGTGTTGGCAGGCCCTCGGTGTTCTGGCAGCAGTGGTTTCTACCTTGTGAGTGAGGACCTGGCAGCACGTGAGGGGACACTGCGCACTGAGAGCTGGCATGGCGCCCTGCGGGGCACGCGAGCCAGTGCACAGCCTTTGAACCGGAGTGGCCTGGATGCCTGCCGTTTATCTCCGCCGTCGGAGTCTCTCCATCAGGGGGCTTTCCTGGTTCCCAGGGCTGGGGTCACATGGACACTGGGGGATGCAGGACTGGCTCTCGGGGAGAACAGCGCGGAGCTGGGAGTTAGGTGGGCGTGAGCTCGCGGGCCGAGGTGGGAGCCCTCTCCTGTTAACGGAATGATCATCGTATTTCAGTTCCGTTTTCTTGTTTGGTGTCCAGTGTGTGTGTATGTGTGTGTGTGTGTGTGTGTGCGCGCGCACGCACACACATGCAAATTCACATTGTTACGAGGCAAGTACCTCATAGAAAACATACAGAATTATCCTGAGATTTGCTGAGATTACATCTTAGATTTTGCATGGGCTTACACTTTGATTTTTTTCCTTCCCTTTGAATCATCATTCTTTCCTTCAAGTTTCGCCTCCCAGGCTCTGGTCCTGGAAGCACACGGTAAAAGCATGTATGCTTTGGGGCCAGCAAATGGCATAGTGGTTACATCGCTGGACTCCCACATGGCCAATTGCAGTTCGAGTCTGGGACCTGGTTGCTTGAAAATCATTCCTGGCGTGTGTGTGTGTGTGTGTGTGTGTGTGTGTGTGTGTGTGCCCAAGATCCGAGAGTGGAGGAGAAGGGATTGTGGTGTGGCCATCCCCCCTGAGGGGTGATTTCTCACTTTCCCTCTCACTGTCTCTCTCTCTCTGCCTCTGGCAAGTACATGCACCTTAAGGCAAAAACCTCTAAACAAATAAGAAGAAAGTATGTGCGCTTCGCATTGAGAGCTTGGCAAAGGCAGAGAGAGAAGTGGACACCGCTGTCCACATCGCCGCTGTTTCCATGTGCATCCATGGCCCGTCATCCTGTCTCCCCGGTCTTCTCTAGTCATCTTTAGATGTCCTGAGATTTCTCCTGAGTGTTTGCCGACACAGACCTGAGCAGCGGGTAGGTCTTTTTCCCTGTGGTGGTTTCAGTCACGGTGACCGGCTTGTGGTAAGTCCTTGGTGCGCGTGTGTGTGTGTGTGTGTGTGTGTTTGTGTGTGAGTGCGTGTGTGTGTGTGAACGAACTGCAGAGAGGTAATTT